AGGCTTCTGATATCTGGTACAATGTTTCCTTAGAGAAATAGGATCCACTTTCGACTCATTTCTTAGAGGTATATAAATAAAGTTCATTTAAAGACAAAGAGGAATCAAAGAATTCGAATCTCTCTTAAGTGTTTTGATGGTGTAATTTCTCTTCATATTTATGTCACCGGCTACTTATAAACACCTTTGAACTGTATTCCTATATAAGAGGATTTATAATGAATATACTGCCAACAATGAGGGAACAGGTTACCCTGGGTTTTCTCTGGAAATGAAGTGAACTAGTCACAGCCTAGCACCACAGATATCAGGTTCTTCCAACTGGTCACCAATGTAATTTCTATCAAGTTTCCGAATATTCAACCAAACAAAAAAATGGGGAAGGTGTTTGGCCATTTTTAAACTACACACACACGTTTCCGAAAACTAAGCATATACTGTAAAACTACTACTGGTACAGCAGAAAACATAAGTTGGAGAGGCAATGAATGAGGATCGGCCGACGTTTCAATGTCATGATAGACATTATCACTGTTACCTGTGCCCCAAAGCTTCAAAGGAAACTGAAGTAATTGACTATGTGTGAATATTTACAACGTGCTATTTTGCCTTAGCCTAACCTGATTGATTGGTTGGCTAGTGTATGCGCGCATGCGTAACTTGAGTAGCCAACTTCCTTTATTTGTTGATTTTTAGAAACATGACCACTTCAGTTACATGTTAAACAAGAGGCAGTATGCTGAATTAAAGTAAGAAGTTTTGATTGATAGGAATTCGGGGTGAATTATTTGGAGACTAACAATGGAATCCAGGACATGAGTTCCATCCTATTCGGGACTCGTCAGCTTGATGTACCTGCACCCTAGTGAGTGATGTTGTTTGCATTGAGACTGGAACTCAGGGCCATCACTTCAAGTGCTTAGGCGTTTCCCACAAGGCCACTCGGGCATGAGAGCCACCGTTTGTGAAACGTACATTAGTTGCTTTTCATAGATTCTTGTAATTTCCCGTTGGTGCGCTGAGTTGAATTGCCCAACCTCTATTGGCAGATGGGCTCCTCCGTGGATTCCTCGATACTACCAGGATATTCATCACGTTAAAGAAGTATTGCATCTGTTTTACAGAATTATCAAAAATACTCTGCAATTTCTTGTTTGGATTTGTTTAGAAAGAAATTCCTGCCGGACGTCGTTTGAAAGTCGAAATATTTTCCAGCTGACAAATGAACTGTGATGCCTTAGACGGTAACCGCTCTCAGCAGGGGTTTATGTCTCAGTGGGCCTCAAGAATATCAGCGGTTGACTGAACCAAGGTTTGTCTATTGAGAAGGATCACCATTTGTAATCCGAAAGAAAGGAAGAATGCTGTCAAACGAGTGGGCTATAAGTCTGTATTAAGTGTTTCAACAACTGCTTACACTTAGTTGGGAAGAGTAAGCACCAACGAGCAGTAGATGCCAGCTAGAATGAAATGACGACTGTTGGGAATAGGCACCGACTATATCGGTCAGTAGTACTTTCTTCAGTGATTTCTCTAAGCTTCGGCTTTTTAATCAGGACTTTAGAAACGATATATTTTTTCAACTAAACGTCTTAAATACTGAGGTGGTGTTTACTGTAGACTGACATAACTCGGAGAAAGCGTAAAATCTCATACCGAATTTCTACCTAGTACTCGTTAGTCACATGATTCGAGATGAAGTTTTTCGAAGTTTTAATGAGAAGCCGTGTCCTGCGGGGTCAATCAAATTGGGTGTGAGGATAGATACTTGCCGATCGCATTCAGTGGCAGTCGCGCTGTAACGTGAATTAATGGACGTTTAAAAAGTGTAGGCCATTAGATTGTGACCCTACGAGCGAATAGTTAGAATGATTGCTTCGAGATCTGAAGGTCCTGACTTTGGTCTTTGGTGGGATCATTGGTCTGCACTGCTGAGGAGTCTTATACTGGGACGAAAAAGATATCCAGTGCTATCCGGTTTTCAATGTCAGTCTATGTTAAAAACCAACTTGAAATAAATAAAACCAGATAAATCTGCAAATTATATTCAATATCAGCTGAAGTCTCTGCTCTTTCGAAACGGAAGCCTAAACTAAGTGCCGTAACTCGAGAAGACAATAAAATGAGGGAACTGATATATCTCACATATTCGCTTAGTTCAGGTGAACACTATGCTCAACAGTATCAAATTCAGCTCAGAAAGAGAATTGGTAAATGATGAACTACTTTTTAGCTAAGTTCTTAATAAGGTCAGGAGAAAACAATCACTTGGATGTGAGTATTATCTTGAAAGTAATATACATTCGAAAAACTACTTAGATTTTAATTTACCTTTGTTCATCAGTGTAAAAGTATGTATTGCTATCATTCCTTAAAGTAGAACGTATACTCTAATAACGAATGAAGACGAGAAAATGAAAGAATGAAATTATCTAACAGATACTCTTGAAATGAATAATTATTTAATGATGTTTGTTCATCAAACTAGACTGAAAAAAGTACTCCCAAATCAGGGGCTTCAAAAATAGTTATCCAATACAAGTCACATATCCTATATGGGATTGATAGAGGGCTCAACAAGTGGAATATCAGAGTATTCTATGGAACGTGAAATACACCACACAGTACATTAATCCATATGGAGGTCTAAATTCTCCATCATTTATAATTTGATGGTATTTGTGAAATATAATGCTCAGAGTACGACCAGGTAAATGTAGGAAAGAGATCCAATGAAAGGGAGGTTAAGGAAACCAAAGACTATAGAGCTTCCATCAAGACCTCTAGGAACTCAGTAGAGTTCAACATACTTGGAAACATTTCAGTCATAGCTGTACACACTATGATTTCATACCATAAGGTCGACTTTAAAATTATTTAGAAATATAGGACCTTTCTTTACATAAAATGAAACCAAATTTGTATAAATAAGAATGAAGGAGTAAAACTAGTATGACATGAATACATATACTGATACACGGTTGCGAACTCTTCAGTAATAGCCTTCATATTCCACCCATAATGGAGTAGAGAAAGGTGGTAAGAGAACAAGATGGTACCGGGCAAGTTTAGAGACTATATTAGAAGAAATATGATTGATTATCAAAGACTTCATGGATTCTAGGCATGTTTGAAGGATCTTGACAACTGTATTGCAGACCACAGCGAAAGTGTAGCTAGGTCTGATTTCAATCAACCGTCACATACCAATATAAACGATGCGCACACACATACATGCATGCAACAAAACTACATTCATATTTGAACATACAAACTTCGACCTCCAATTTACACACTTACCACAACATAAAATCACCTATACTGGAAATCTCAGATTTGGGTATCACATTTAAGCTTGGATATTATAAAATCCAGTTTATGCTTACTTTGGTAAAGCTGTTAGTATTATATGGTTGAATGTGACTTAAGACAATCTTTGGAAATGCTGAAATCGTACTGGACAGCCAGTGAGAATACAAAGGATAGATAGTTGGGCGTCGCAAGTTCATATAGAAGTTAGAGAAGACCCTTATTGATGAAAGGTAAATTGAGATCTGGCCAGCAGTTGATTCCCTCAGCTCAGTTGGTAGAACAACAGGCGAATAAGCCAGAGGCTGGTGCAGGGTTCGAAACCTGAAGTGATTCAGATTTTTATTTCAACTTCAGTCATCATCCAGTATAAATATTTATATATCTGAAAATGAATTTCAGGATATGATGAACTTCGTTAAAGAATAGAGCCCGTGAGCTGTACATACATACATACACATACTCATGACCATCAGGTCATGTATGTAGTACGTTGCCATTCAGCCACTAGGCTGAAATACATTTCCCAACAGTTGCTTAATTCTATCAGCTTGCAATACGGTCTGACTACCACCAATTGCCATCACTGAGTACTCGTATTCATAACCGAATTGAGTCATACTTCTCTATTAAAAGAAGTGTTTAAGGTTACTCAATAAATTGTCAACATGTGAGTTCTTAGTATGGATGTAGATAGCACACTGGGAGACAAAGCAGGACATCTTCATCGCTGAACATCACTTGTACAGTCCAGCCTAATTTCTTCCTTTACTTCATATTCGATAGAAAATGTAGTTGTCAGTTTGATGTTAGTTCCATTTCATTTGGGATGTGACAGAATAACAGTCCTTAAAATCAACTTATTTACGTCGCTCCTGCGTGGATCTCTCCATATTACCTGTGTTTGAGTTATATATTGTTGACGGATAGTGACTAGCACTGGATTCTAGGATGTAAGTTTTGTCCTATTTGGGACTCTTCAGCTGGGTGTACTGCCTCCCAGTGACCGGTGTTCTCCCCACTAGGACTCGAACTTGGACCGGTTACTTCAAACGCCTTTAGACAAGTCTGAACTAAGAGGAAATGCGCATCCTGGACTTCTCTACCAGCCAATATCCACCACTGACACAAAATTCAAACATAGGCAATATCGAGGCATCCGCGTAGGAGCCAATATGCCACTCAAATAAGTTAGTTTTAAGGACTGTCACTCTGTCCCATCCGATTGTGTGTGTTCACGTGTAATTCCAAGTTTAGCTGTAGGCAAGTTTTTTCCTAGGTTTCATGTCTCACTGGGGGCTACCGATTAGGTTTTTGTGTTTGAATTGTTTGAAATAGCGTCGTCAACTACTCTGACCTATATGCTTGACTTCACAGTCACTCAAAGCTGTATGGTAAACTAGATTATTTTGCCTAACTGGACCAATGAGATCTCTTTACCTAAAAAGTCTATTTCTAAGTGAGTTTATAGGTTTAAATGTCCGAGTAATCCCAGCCTTATTGTGGATGGTTCAATCCTTGGCGAGGTTATAGGTATACACTGCTCAGAAGTCCTATACATGGATGAAACATTTGTTCAGCGCTATGAGGTTTTCAGTGATTCGCCAACGGATGTATATCCATGATAATTATCATCTTGAAGATTATTCATGCGTTTAAAAGGAATGAATAATTGAAAAGAAATAACTTACTATGGTTAAAATCAAATTGATCGAAAGACGTCATAACATTTCCGTACTGTGAATAGATTTGTACATATTTCCTGAGAGATGTTGGCGAATAGTCTACAAGACAAAACTTCAATGTAAACTAGTTAAATGATACAAGTCATATGACAACAAAATGTTAACAACAGTAATAAAATGTATCAGAAATAATTACCTTTACAAATCTGATTAGAAAGAAGAGTAACACAGTGAACAGATATTATTTTCTCCTTAGCATTTCGGCCATCTGGATTTTCCAATCACTAATCGATAAGTTAGACATAGAAATTAGGTGATAATGGAACAGTGTTATGACTGTTAAACATAGATTCTTAGAGAAGTTACCACTTTCAAAGTTCAAATTATTAGTTGGCAGACGTTCTGCTATCAATCCGAGCGTTATAGTCAGTATATACTAAGCATATGCAGGAATATAGTATGAGTTTCAAGTTCAAAGCGAGTTTACAACTTAAAATCTATTTGCTAAGTTACAAATTGCCTTAAAAGTAGAAAACTGTTCAAGGAGAAAATTCTGGAAATTCAACTTAGAAAAGAAAATAATGCCGGTTTAAAGTGAGAAATTCTAGAAACTCCGAGGAAACTTATCGTATAATGACAAGACACTTAAGTGACCTACTAATTGGGAAAGAAAGCCAAATATTCTGTTCCTCTATACTGTCGAACCCTCCTGCAACGTGTGACCTTGAGCTTGAGGTTAAACGCCAAAAAATAACCCTATTGTTCAGTACAAAGCAGCTTCTTAGCAAAATGGAAAGGATCCATGGAGTAGGTCACAGGCTTTTAGTCATGATAAATCAATAACAGTATTCGGTGCGTCAAAAGTCTTAAGCAACCATAAGGATGATAGAATATGCCATCAGTTCAATCCATACCACCTCCAATCAGTATATGCATATATATATATATATATATATATATATATATAAGGTGGTATTCTTCATGAACCGGTATCACTAGGACGAACATTTAACACCTGGAAGCATTCGGCTTATCGGGCCAACTACTCGGAAGTGAAACAGATGTTAACTGAGGATCTTGGAACCTAGTCTCTCTATATCGTGAGTTGATAGAAGTTCAAAACTATGGGCTATTGACCTCCGACACATTGGCTAAATGTTTAACTTGTTCACTGCAAGACCTGAAGGTACTGAGTTTGATTCATGGTAAAGTTGTAGATACGTAATGCTGAGGAGTTCCATACTAGGACGAAACAGCAGGGCCGGTGGTTCCGGGTTTTGTTCCAACAGTTTGCCGACGGATGTAAGTTCGTGGTGAATACAACTTTTAAAATAACATATGTGGGTGAGCTCACCAAAAGACACTTGGAAACTGACGAGTAAATAAATTTATAGTGACATCCTCAGGATATGTAGTTATCTTTTAAGTCTGCATTCTAGTCGCTAACTGTGGATACTTTAGATCCCTTGAGAAAAAACGTAAGTAATGGTAGACAATATCTGTCAAATATCACCTGTTGTCTGCCTTCAGGGCAGTTTGTCTAAAGAAAAAATTGCTTTACTTTTATTCATCCTCATCAACTGCTTGGTAATTGATGATAAATGAACTGATACTGAGGATTAAGTTGTATTTAGAAGTCCATTTCTAGGTGAATAAATTAAAGAAGTCTTTTACATATGTTGATGCTTGTAATTTACTCGTTAGCTAATGAGATAAGGCTCATGAATTTGAAGTTATGAGTGCTGGATACAAGTTACTGTTAAGATGCAATCACTCATGTATCCAACTGAAGATTACCGAGTAGAAAGAAGCAAACATTTTGGACTCTACTTTTGATGACCATCCGGTTGCCTGTGCATCAACGAAAAAGTTCGATAAAAATATCACTTAGAATATGCAACAATACCAAAATGTATCTTGATATATAAACAGGTGATATATTTGGCATGCATTTCAAACATAAATTACAACAGTCTATTTACACTCTAACTAAAGCAAAGATAACATTTTATTAAGACTGATTTTCTGATAATTTATCAAACCATTAACATAATCTACACAAGATAACCATGTAGGGAGCTAGAGATACCTGAACCTACCCCTTTTTGAAACTCAATACCATTTGACCTTCGGTTTATCAATTCTCATCATAAAGGTTTGTCTATAACCATGACGGAACCAAAGCTTCCTCACAGATTTAAAGTAGTATCATGCAGACCTTGAAGTGTATAATCTTTCTAGAAGGTCAACTGGACAATGATTGACATCTCATGGTTGTCCTGACATATCATTGGATGTTAATTTATTCGCTGTCATGTTGCTTAGTTCTAGAGGAGTATATAAATCGGTATCAGGAGAAAGTGAAAACCTCTTCCATGATCAATTAGGCCTAACCAACGATGGAATAATGCAAGTGACTACATTAAAATGAATCATGTAACCGTTAAATTTAAGGATTTCAGAAGTGTGTTACTTGGGTTCAGTTGTGATCATTTCTTCTGTTTCTGAAGGTGAAATGGAAATCCGGACAGCTGCCGGTTTCGAACTAGCGGCCGACGGGACCCTTGTCCGACGCTCTACCAACTGAGCTAAGAGGTCCGACTGCCTACCAGACTCTTTAATTCAATCACTAAGGGTTTTGCACGACTACCATGTGAATTCGTGACTCATTACTACCGCTTGATCTTATTCACACCGACTGCCTAGGCACGACTTCTCATCCAAATCGAAATCTAATAGTATCAGAGAGGGGGCACATCATATTGATTATCATTTGACTATCTAAGATAGCCGTGGTTTGGAAGACTAGTATTTATACTGGATGATGATTGAAGGTGAAATGAAAGGTCATGTCGTAAACCCATTGGTCGTTGGTTCGAATCCAGCCGCGGTCCAAATTTTCATTTCACCTTCAATCATCACCTAGTATATACATCTGTTGACTGTTAACTGACCCGAATGTCAAACTTTGAGGAATTCTCTGATATTCTTTGTACTTCCTCTGTCTAAGACTTATATATTTTTAAAACTGAATTCACGTCCATAGTTGTCCACGTTCATTGAAATGCTCAATACAATGTCATGACATTTAATAGTTAATCAGTGTTTACGTAAGCAAAGGCGAGGAGCACGACAACATTCTTCAATGTAGTATCAATCGCAGTTGTTGTAGCTGATATTGTAAATGATATTTGATTTGTCTTCTTTGACTGTTGTGTCCCTTGGTCTGCATAATATGCTATGAAGGGAATCTATTAGTTTATGAACCACACGAATTCCAAATGGTCTCAGTGGTCTTGACTTGACCTCCGACATGTTCTTTATGCTGATGAAACAATTGTATCAGTATTTCACTTATGTTTAGCACTTTTTATCAGAAAAGCTTACATGCCTCTCTCTGTTCAAGTAACCATTGAACTGGATGAAGAAATCAGAGGTAGACAATGTATAACACGATACAAGGAATTGGAAGATGAATGCTTTAGGGTTGGCACTTGTCCATGAATCTGTGGGTAGATTTCAAGACAGTATGCTACTCACTAGCTTGAAATACAATCACATTTACTTCAGAGGAGAAATCAATATTAGTCAAATAATGGTTTTTTTTCTGCTTGTATTCTCGAGAATTAAGATTACATGACTGACCATCGCTTTGGATATATGTCATGAAATTATGTCTCTTATCATCTGGTAACCTTTTTCTTCCTATCTTTGTTTCATGTCACTCCAGTAATATTATATTATTTTGTACAGTAAATAAGAATCAATCCAACCAACTATTTGAACAAAAGTATACTTTGTATACCATCTTTGACAAGCTTTCTAACTTCAGTTGCATCATTGGTATTACAACTCCATAGATGCTTCAATGTTCAGTTTGATAGACTCTTGCTTTCAGCGCATAAACCAAATTTTACAAGTTAGTATTATTTTTAACTTCAAGGTTGATGGAGATGATTTTATTGATTACAGATTCATATTTATTATCGACTGATATCATTCGCAGAAACATTGAAAACCTGAAAGCACTGAGCAGCTCTTCGGTCCTTGTATGGAACCTCTTAGCAGTGTGCACCCATCACTCCACCTTGCCAGAAATGGAAACCCACAAAATTCAAGTTCTGTGGCCAGCACGTTACTATTTTCCTACTTCTATCAGTTTGCGAGATCTTTTAGACAGTTTGCTCAGCTGTATTGCATAATACAGTGTGTCAGAAGAAAATTTATCATCTAAGATATTGGATGGATAACCAGAACGTGCATCTCCTGGAGGAGTGCATACTGAAAGTATATCTCAAGACACAATTTACTGGTTATTTGCTATTGTTGACATCTTAACGGCTGTCTGAGTAAATTCCACGAGGTCCCTGACTGTTGGTCTGAACCATGCGGGGAGATGTAGACAACTTGGCTGCGGTCTGTGAGATGATAGGAATGAGTAGTTGAGAAGAGCCTTGGTGAGATGGCTTGAATATTTGCTTTAACCTCAACCATCAGACAGTTTGTTTTCTCACACAACTTTATCTACTTTCATATTACTCTTTTTCTGTCCACCTGTTCTTTGTATATTATATTATTGTGAAGTGTGACAGCCTGGAATGATCTCTATGCTTGCGAGGTTCTTTATTAATATTTTCTCTCTGCCTGAGTAAATGTGACGGAGTTTCCGTACGCAACAAATCAAACCGAATGTAAGGTTTCCTGGAAATTTTCAAAGAACATGTGAACGCTTAGTATTGTTGTTTGCATTTCCCCGTCGTTGATTGGACTGGATTCATCGATGTCTATAGACAATAGGACCCTTGAGCAAATACCTCGATATTACCCGTGTTTTAATTGTATAGTAATGATGGACAGTGGCTATCATTGGAATCCAGGCCACACTTTTAGTCCTATTCAGAACTCGTCAGCTGGATGTACCTGCCTCTCAATGAGTGATTTCATCTCCACTAGGACTCGAACTAGGAGCCAATCACTTCAAATGCCAGAACCTTATCTCTTTGACCACCAAGCCACGATAGCCACTTCTTATAAAACGGGTAAGTTTAAGTGTTGTTGCTGGATTGTTGTTTTTGGATTGCACTGCTAGCCACTATCCA